GTATCAGCATCCCTGTGCTTTCACATGGCAGCCAGGGTACTTTAACTAAGCTGGTTCAACAAGCTTTATACCGGCCCTGCTGCCATTTTGAAATGTGGGGACATTGATACACAAGATGCTGTGGTCGCTTTAATAGGAGTGGCTCTTGGAGCCACTCCTATGAAAACCTTCTTCCACGCCGTCCCAGACCATGTGTAGAAATGCCGAATAGTGCCTCAGTTGCTTGTAACCTGGCTCCTTTACTGTAGGCTTTGATAGCTTGGGGAAATAACAAACTAAAATATCACTGCAATGCCTCTGGTAGAGGTACAGGTCCCCTGGTTGAACAGTGTTTTCCTATGATGTATCAGGGCCTTACTTGGAGAACGTGAGTAGTGTTTTATGGAAGCCATAATCAGAAAAAGAAGTGGAGATCTGGCTAGTGTCTGGTAGCAGAACTACAGCTTCCATGAGACGTCGTGGCAGGTTATCAGTGTTGGAGTTACTGGGATTGGGGAACATTTAGTTTCATCAGTGGAGAAATGTCTACATTTTGAGTTGAAAGCAGCAGTATTATGCCAATAAATATTTTGATTCCAGCAGGAAGGTAGAATTTTGACTGTTTTAATAAGCCCCAGTTTGGAATAATAGAAATGGCATCATTTCCCTTCCCCTGCATCTCCCTTATGCTCCCCCTCTCCTAACAAGTGATTGTTTCAGCTTGCAGCAGAACTAATAGGTTAAAAACATTCTGATTACAGGGAGAGATGATTGCCAATTTATATTGGTCACCAAAAGTGCAGAGGAGGCAAGCGGAGCATGTGAATGCCCTTACACTGTGTAGATGCCACAGTAAGTTTTTCTGGGCAAGACATTTCTGTGGCAGTCTGTAGGAGTAAACTGCTAGCATATAGGCAGTTGACATTACTGAGCATTGCTTGACACCCACAAAGAAGAAGAAAAGCTAGGGGGCAAAAAACAAAAAACCCCAGAGTGGGAATATATAAGGGTAGAAGAGTGTTAAGAACTTCAAACTTTCAAGGTTGACTTATATTTCATACAAAAAGATTCAGTGCTGGCACTGGATCAATGTGTGCAGCAACTGTAACAGGAAGTTGGCAACAGATAGAGAGCTAACCGTGTAATGCCATTTTTCTGCATGCAACACACCCTGGAATATAATGGGCACCTTGTTTTTGAAAAACAGAATGAAGGGCTGGGGGGAAGAAAAGATCTTTCTGTGTAGTAACTGGGCACATCTACATGTATGCTTTAATATACAGTAGCCTATTTTACTGTGCATTAGTGGTGCGTTAAAGTGCTATTATGCTAATGTGCAGTAAAATGGGCTGCTACACATTTAAGTATCACCCCAAAAGTATGTGCTTGAGCTATTGCACATTGGGGGATCCTAATGCACATTACCTCACATAGGAGGTAATAAATTGAATGCACATTAATAAAAGCGCATTAATGCACATGTGGATGCTCCCACTGAGTAAGTAGCAGCAGTTAGAGCTAAGCCTGCTTGTTCTACTCCCTGTAGATTGCTGCAAATTTTACTTTTAGTTTCACCCAGAGCAGCAAAAATTGCTGTTACTGTATTTTTCACACAGTGCACACTCAAGTTTCCAGCAGCTGTTTTCAGAGGAAAAGTATGTGTTCTTTGCAAGAAAATATGGTATTTTCCTCAGGTGAAAAATCACACTGAGTGAAGCCTGCAGTTTCAAATTTTTTCCATATCTTTTTCCCTTGAAATGCATTTGGCACTGGAAATGTAATTAAAATACTGCATGCATATAAAATACCTATATAGTGATCCTTCTGATGTATTATTCATTTGTTCAATTCAGGTTCTTACAAAAAAAACTGACACTGGAAATGAAACAGGATGACCTTGATGAAATGGTACTTATCTAGATGAAGGTGGTTTGATTGGAGGGCCTTGTATGCAATTATCATCTGTTTGCTTTTTAACCTTTTAAGTGATAGATTTGATAGCAAGAGAGGATAAAAGACTTACCCTGACTCATTTGGATACAATGCTTAGGGGAGAAAAACATTTTTTTCTTTTTGTGTGATTTACTGTGTTCTCGATTTATGCAATCTTAAACGATGTCAAATTATTCAGCCACAGTAGTGCTGCTCTCCTGCTTTGAATTAAAAACAAAAAACAAAAAAGTAATATAAAAATGTAAAGTTTGGGAGATGTGGAATTCTGATTTAAGATTCATTTATTCTTGCAAGGAATTTAATAGATTGCTTCTGGAAGTTGAACTGCATTTTGGTCTCATTTGTGAATCCTCACAGGTTCTCTGTAAGATGGAAAGCTTTGGTCTATGCTGGAAATTGATGCTTTGCTGAATAATGGCATTCACAAGCATTGTTTTATTACCATATTATACTGACTCCAACCAAGCCTGCATTGATAGTCTCCCCCTTGACACACTGATAAAGCAATTAATACAGAAATAGTTACTTGCTGTGGTTAAGAATAAGCAGGGCATAGTGAAGTCATTGATATAGTCATTGTACCTTACGCATTCTAACTTAGGTTGAACTATTGCTCTCTGAATGAAGGCTGATCCTTAGTCTGAATTTAATTTTAGCAGAGACAACTTTTTTTTCTTCTCTCGCCATCTTTCCCGACTACTGTTATGTGTGGTGCAATATCATCTCAAAGCCTCAAGCAATCATTAGCTAATGAATATTGAAAAAAGTAAGTTTGTTCTTGGCCATGTGCAGATTTCACCTGTTTAGAAAATAAATTATTTCAGAGGCTTCCCTAGTTCTGATCTTTGCTAAATTGAATGCAAAGGGCTTTGACTTTTTTTTTTAACCCCAGTTGAGAATCACTGCTTTAACAACATGACTTTAGAGTTTAGTGTAAAAGGGTTGAACTTGCACCACTTTCTCCATTACCTCTGAATGGAGGTATCACCGTGTTCCTTTAACCCAGTGATTCTCAATTAGGATGCAGTGAGTTGTGCACAATATATTACTGGTAGTTATGCAAACGCCTGCACAGTGATTCACAAGGTAAATCCTGAGATTTCCAATAGGAATCCATCATGTCAAAAACATTCTGACCTGTTGTGGACTTGGAGTTTGTTGCAACAGAATTTCTCTATTATTCTGAAGTTAAAAAAAAAACAACCCAAAAACCCCACTAGTGAAAGCTAAGAGTTGGCATCTGAGAGATGCTTTGTGTCTAATAAGGTTGAGAACCACTATTCTAACCACATCTTCATCTAGATATGCTGAAGCCTTTCAAAGGTTTCAAAGCCCTATTCTAAAAGGATGACTCACTCACTCACTCACTCACTCATGTACGTGACTTTTAGAATGGGACTAAAGAAAATTTAAAACCCAACTGTAGAAGAAAACTAGCATCATTAAAGCAATATAAAATTGTAATATACATGCACTTTAATTGTTTTAACTCATTTTAAATTGGTTTATCATAATGCGTTACAATTTGAGGACTGCAGCTTTTAGCAATAACGTTTCTGAACATGAAAACCAGGGTTTTGGTTTTTGCTTGTACTTAAATGTTTTCAGAATGCATTTAGAAACCCAAATGCTACGTTTGGATAGGAACCAGAATGTAAAACTGATTGTAAAGGAGAGGGTAACTGAGTAATTTAATTTCTCTTTCTCCAAGCTGTGAACAGTTGAAAAAGTGAACAAAGAACCAGGGTTGGGGTAGGAAAATAAGTGATGATTTTTTTTCCTTTTTTTGTAATATCTCTTTGTTTCAGCCTACCTTCCTTATCCTTTCCTTTACTCACTTCCTCCCCTGCTATTTACTTCCCTATCTAGGGGCCAGTTCCCATCAAATAAAAAAAAGTCTTCACATTTCTTACAGCAAGATCAGGCCCTTAATGCTGATCCTATTACATGGAATAGGGGCTTCAGAGAGCACTGCTGTTTGAGTGGCGAGGATTGCAGCCTCTGCCAAGGCTGGCAGCAACACATTTTTTTCACCAGTTTGATGACATGGCACCCTGCCATGGAATGAGCCTTCCCAACTAACAGCTGTTCTCCTGTGCAAAATACTTGGGTGCTTAGCTTCTGCCATGGGAATTGGCTGGCCCTTTGCTCTGCTGAATTGGCACTGTTGGAAAGAGTACCTCCAGGCTGTCAGGCACAGCAGGAAAGGCTGCTTCTAGAGAGGGTGCTGCACCTCTGCACTGAATATGTTTGGAGCCACTGCAGCCAAGCTCAGGAGTGTCCTCAAACTTACTGACAGGAGTGAAATGATCAGACTTCATCTTCATGCTCTTGAAAATCATCTCCTCTCCTACTCCAAGGGTGGGGTGCAGGGGGGAAACCCAGTGAGGGCTTTGAATCTTCCCATCCACCCCTTTGCCCAGGACTCTAACTTAGCAGCCCACAGGCCTCTTAGTATGTGCCCAGAAGTCTCTGGGCATACTTATTGCATCGAATGGGATATTGCTGTGTAACTGATGGGTGTGATCTGATGAGTAAGAATAGAGCCTTCCCTTGCAAGGTTTTTTTCTGAGGGGGATGGTATGGGGAAAGATGTGTGAAGTGTCTGCCAACAGTGGTAACAATAGACAGTAACTTTAGTATTGCAGCACAAAGTAACTGTGCAATTCCTTTTTTTTTTTCCCTTGCCAATTTTTCAGGATTATGAAGAGCCCTGGAGTTTGAGTGCAATCCAATGAATTGCTGAACATTCCTGGAAGGGCAACTTTAGATCAGGCAATGTGGTGTAACTGGTATTTTTTTGACTGCTGTATTTAAAATTCACATGCAATGACTCTCCTTCAACAAGCCTTTAACTTCGTCCTTATATACCCCACGCCAGTGCTGTACTAAAAAACACGTGCAGTCAATGCTCAGATTCTGGCTAGATGATGTAGATGATGAGCTGCGGTCACTTTTTTTACTGTGTCCGCTAAGAGGCAAAGAGCTGCTTTCAGCATGCAACTGACTGACTGGCGGGCACTTGTGTACCTTGTATATTCATTCACTCATTTTGTTGTTTGTTCCAGAGATGGTGATGTTGCTGGAATGGTGGTCAGGCACTGACTGCACCCTCTACACTGACCCAGAAAGTTTCCACAAGTACGGGAAAGAAAATGCCATCGTCATCCTTAATCACAACTTTGAAATCGACTTTCTCTGTGGTTGGAACTTTTGTGAGAGATTTGGGGTTTTGGGGGTGAGTTGGTTTTTGTTTTTGTTTTTTTTTGGGGGGGGGGGGTTGTATTAGCATTTAAAAGAAATGTTGCCTTGACTGTCTTGCATAGTTAAGCATTTCATATTTTTCTAAGTCTGGGCGCTTCTTGACCTTAGACTAGTTCTTCTCCCCCCTCCAATGATATTACTCTTTCCACTCCAACTTCTCTGTGAGTAGTCTTTAATCCTTTCAATTACTCATCACAGGAAGGATGAGTTGAAGGTTTGGTGGTAGCATATAGAAGGATAATAAATGGTGCAGACCGGGTCACTTTTTAAAAAAATTCATAGAATACCCAAAGTAGCATGTTGAAAATTGTAAAAAAAATAAAAAAATAAAAAAATAAATATATTTTTTAATGTACTTTGTGTTTTCCTATGGAATCTATTCCCATCTTAATTTACTGTGTGTCATTTGCTTTTGGGGGAAGGTCTGTGGTTGGGAGCTTTCTTTCCCAGTAAATTGTGGGACAACCTTTGTCCTGGAAAAACAGGTGGAATGGTGGAAAAGCATTAGAGAACAGTCGGTGTTTGAGTTGCATACCCTGTATCCTTATTTTAAAGAGGACAAGTTTAACAGCTCAAGTGAAAACGACTCCTAGGTTTTTAGCTTATGGCCCAGGATGGCTCGGCTAACCTGAGTCCAAAGCTTTACCAAGGGGAAATAATTCCTAAACACATTGAGTCATGTGTCTTACTGAATCAATAGTTTTAGTTCCTAAGTGCTCTGGAGTTTTTTTTTTAAAAACTTTCCCAAGGTACTTATCCTCCAAACAGGATGTGTCCAAGGAAGGCACCTAGCATGGAATTGAAATGTTGCTATCCAAAATACACCATCTACTACATGCTAAGATGCTACTTCTTCTGTACTCTTATTGCATCACTGCTTTATACTGTACAATTAAAAGGAGTACTTGTAGCTACAGATTTCACATTAAATCTGCATTTTAAACAAATGTGGGATGGTGCTTTTTTCCATAAAGGATTGCTTAAAGCCCCAGCGGGTTAGTGCCTGTACCCTGTTTCATCAGTGCTGTCCTGTGGAATGCAGTTGCACTAATCTTATTTGGAGAATTTGTCCCAGGTTTAGCGTATTTTACAGCTTCCTGAGGTCACTAGCTTTGCTATGCAGTTCTGCTCTTAGCTGTATAACCAGGCATTTTTTTTAAAACTCAAGTGTTCAGTAGTCATTTTATGATGCACTAAATAACCTTGATTCTCTGTTTGGCATTTTACACTTTATAACTGAATGTGTGTATCCTTTGCCATTTTCAGGAATGAACCTCTTGCATTTAGAGCGTTTTAGAGGGCTCCAGTGCACAAAATGCCTACTCTAATTTTGCTGCTTATCAATTTTATACGGCTCAAATTTTAAAGTGCTGAGAACTTTTAGTCCCTCTTTATTTCACTGGGAGCAAAGGGAACTCTGAACCTCAAAGTTGGAGCTGTAGGAAAAAAATTACACTTTTTTAGCGATGTCACAAGTGTGCACAGACTCTCAGTGCTGTACAACTTGAATGTAAGCATTTTCAGCATACATGATTAACCTTACAACCAAGTGCTTAAATGCTTGGGGCAGGGGAGACCCTCTCTTCTGTGCTCATTAAGTGGCTCGAAAGCATGTCCACAGATATTTAGGCAAGAATTTTAGTTGCAGAATCAGCTAAGCCTATATACAAAGTTGCTTCTCCTCTTGCAAGCTTATTCCTCTCTCTCTCTCTCATAACCCACAATAGCTGCTTTCCTCTCTTCTCCTCACCTACAGCCCAACTGCTGCAGGGACTGAAGTGCCACAAAAAGGTTTCCAATACTGGTAACATGGGTTTTTCTTTCTTGGTGGGGCATGGGGGCCCTAGAGACAGCATGGCCATCTGTTAAAACACTATCATGTCTCCTCACATTTTTCATTAAAAGCTCAGTTCTGTAGTCAAGCATATGAAAAGCTTGGTTTTCTTTTCCAATATAATAATACAAATAAGTTTCTAGCCTTCGTTTTCCTCATGCAAGATGAAGGTGGTGATACTGGCTTCCTGTATGAAATGCTTTGAGATCTACTAATAAAACATTACTTAGCACTTTTCATTAATATAATACCATTGTTGCTGCTTAATATAATACATTAGGAACCATTTAGCTTCCTCAGGCTGTGCATTTAGCGGGCAGGGGGGAATCCTGTTCCAAAGCCGCCTTTCTGCAAAGGAAACATTCCTTTAGACTTTAAATCAAATCCTGTGTACAGTAAAAGCCCTGTTACCTGGCATTTTACTAACCGGAATACTATTTTAACCAGAATTCAGCCAGCCTCAGGTAACCGGCATTTTTAGATACCCAGCACCCCCTATTCCCCACTCTTGCCGGATAACAGGGCTTTTATTGTATATATTTCAGGTGGCCTTGTTCTTGAAGATAAACCCAGGGTGTGTAGCAATGGCAAATTAAGGGGCACCCACCATGGCTTGCTCTACTGCTGGCCTTCTAGTTTCAGTGTTCAATATACAGTTATGATATTTGAGCTGTAAAACAACAATTCTCTCTTCCCCTTCTTCCTTCCACTCCCCACCTCTGATAAAGAATAGGTTCATATCCACAAAATGCAGTGATGTTCTTGTAACTTTAGGAATCACTCTCTAACCAATCTGGCTGACTCTGTAGTGACCTTTCAGATTTATTGCAGAGCCATAATCTTAATAGTGGACTTGCCTGCCTCAGCACAGTGCCAGTTTCTGTAAACATCTCTCCATTGAGTGTTTTTAATATTGACTGCAGAGTAAATGGGTTTCCAAAGGGATGGTGATCATGATTTTACTGACAGTGACTTTGTGCAAGGGGAGTGGGAGAAAAATCTTGACCACGTAGAATCATAATTTCAACCTAATAGTAGCTTTTCCTATTAAAAAAAACCAGAGTATAGACACTCCAAATATTGTTGATTTAGTGCTGTTATCAATTGTTCTAGGTCTTCCCTCCCCCCCGCCATGCCAATAAAAATGATTGTATAAGGAAACTAATTTTTGAAAACATAGTGACTTGAAAAGTATCTGAGCATTATACCATATGTGGATATAAGTAGGGACCTATTCAACTCATCATCTTATGCATTTTATAGAAACCACAAAATAAGGCATTGCCCTTGAAATCCACAAAAAACCCCAACCCTTACTAAACACAAGGTGCTGGCTCCCGAGTTGGACCAGTGGTTGTCACAGCTGCTATGGTCTGACCTTGCAGCAGGGTGTGTGGTGGCGGGGGGGTAAGGGGAGCAGCCCAGATGGTGGACAGCCTTCTTGGTCAATCAGCAGTGAGGGACAGGGTGATGTGATGGGCAGCCCTCTTGGCCAAACGGAGG